AAGTGTTAGATTTCGCAGTAGGTTTCCGTAACGGGAGAACAGGACAGCGAGAGAGTAAAGTTGAGACTGTAAGACCTTATATACAGAGTTATTCATAATTCCGTGAAACATTTTGAATATTTACAATAAATAAACTACGCAACGGATACCAAATTTTATTACACTGAAATAGAGACAAACTCACCAAGTGTTTTTTTTTACATAGTTCACAGATGATCAGTGTGTCCACCTTTGCTGATACGGCAGACATCTATGCGATAATCCATTTCGTCCCACACCCGTGTCAGCATATCACGGCTGATCAAGGCCCCAGCAGCGGTGATACGGTTGCGAAGATCCCTGAGATTAGCAGGCAATGGCGTCTTTCGGAAAGTCTTGGAGAGATTCATTCTCTATCAGCGTAAGAACTGACATGATCCAATGTATAGTTCATTTGTTGTGAATTTTTAAAATGTTTCACGGATTTATCGTGTATAAAATACACTTTTATACGTTTGTTAGTGCACACAAGTAACTCAGTTAAGAGCGTCTGACATAGAAATATAATCGTCGAAGTACTTCGACAAAACTTTCGTTAATACAGGTAGGAGATGCAGATGCTCTCTCTCCAAGCCACGCTGATGACGTTTCCTTGGCTGTTTCTTCGCTTGAGCTTGAAGACGAGGAGGACCTGGTTGAATCATCGAAATTTCGTAGTACGTAGCATGGCTGACATGTTCCATTGTTGTTCTCACTCAACGGCCGGTTTTGCGCGCTACTTAACGTAAATTGTTCAGCGTAAAGGAGGGGAAAGAAGAGAGATGGGAGGGGTACAGGATATGAATATGAAGAAAGGAATGGAAGAGGTAACAAAAAAAAACGAAAGTCTCTTTCTAAAAAGGAGATACTACATTTTGAATTTTCTACGGGCCTACACAGAGTAATGATAAATATGAAATTACGCTTTTTCAGCTGTTTTAAATCAGTAATCTTTGCCAGTAAAATTTCCTAGACAACTAACCGCAGTGTTACAAGTTTTAGAGTGTAATAACTGGTTTTATTTCTGAATTCTCAGAGTAATTGCTGGCGCTTCTTCTCAGCGTGTTGAAGCTGCTGGAATTAAACATCAGCTCCCATGGGAACTCTGAGTTCCTCTAGGTAAATAGGGACTTAAATAGTTGCGAAACGCTCCGTCCATATTCATGACCATCAATAAATTGGACAATATATATAAAGCATGTAAGCCAGAAATAAGTAAAAATATAGTATAATTATAATTTTATAATTAGGTACCTACTCCTGATATTTGGAGGACTAAATATCATCAACAATAGACAATAATCTCATACCAATTTTCCGCATGATAAAGAAATTTCCTCCGTATAATTTCCAATTTTTTGTACTCATCTAATGGCTTAGACTCAGTCGCTTCTTCCCGCATCATTCTCAGTTCGTCGCTTATAATTACCGTATCATTCGACGTGGTGTAAATTATACAGTAGATATAACAAAACAAAAACTCCGTGGCCTGTAGTCCGCAAGCGAACTATACTGAACGAACGACTGCCGCTTGTCGGTGAAGTTAGTACCAACTTCAGCGGATAGAGGGTGTCGCGTGGTCAGCTCAACGAATCCCCACGGAAATTAATCTCGGTTTTCTAGACCGGAGCCCCTATTTCCTTGAAATAGCTCCTCATTTATCCTCACGAGGCTGAGTGGACCCCGTTCCAGACCCACTACTTCTCTGAAAATCCGGTATCGCCGGGAATCGAACCCGGGACCTCTGGATCTGTATCCAGAAACTCTAACCACTAGACCACAGTTGATACAACTTCGTAAAATAACCATAAAACAAGACTCGACTACACCTCACTACAAAGATTGTACTTATGATCCTCCTTGCGCCCTACATGTCAAGTGGTGTGTATTTCATGCACTGAGTAAATTCAGCAAGAAATAACGCATAGGGTAGAGCGGGTAAAATGTGGCCACCAAAGAAACAAATGAAATGGAATAAGATGTCCAGTCATGTTGTATTAATTAATTTAGTAACACATGACTCGGCGTTCCTACTAGTGGCATACCAAATCTGTTGTCAATAATAGCAATAGGTTATATGATACACAGCAACGTTATTTTGACGTATAGACTATGTACTAGGTTCGGATTGGTGATTGGATTTATTGACCACTTATACACACGACACGTAAATACAAGTAATTGCAGCGCTAACACTGATCTACACACTTTACAGATCACTAGAGCACACGCTAATTTTTATCAATCTGCTTTCACTAGTCGTTGCTAGAAAAGGGCTGCTAATAATGGAAATTCTTCAGCTTCTCTGCCAACGTCGTTGCCCGCTGGCTGATATTCCACAACTGAACTCATTGTCAAAAGTCAAAGTCAAGGTCAAATTACGACTGACACTCAGTCAGTCAGTCTTGATGTTGAGCCCAATATGGGGCATATGACCAGATATGTATTGCTGTTTGATAGTTACGGTCTTCTTTTATGTCGAGCGCCCTCTCTGACGAGAGCACGGGTCTGTCTTTTGTCAGAGTCATTGTCTGCATTAGTAAGTCATGTGTCATAATGTAAAGGATATTTACATTTTAAATGTTAAGCATGTTAATAAATGTACATAAAATATATACAGGGCCTCTGTCAGTACAGGCTCAGTACAGCAGATTATGCCCTATTTCTAGTAGCTTCGGCTACAACGGTAGTCTAGTCACTGAACTCACTTCGGCGATATATATATTACAATTGGAACAATACAGAAAAGGTTAGCATGGCCCCTGTGCAAGGATGAACTCACTGGCTCAAACTATCCTGGTTATAACATCTCGGCACGGACCACACAGAAAACGCCGTTCTTCTATTGTTGCGTTCATGTCCGCCATCGCGGGAACGTGTTTAACTAGCAGTTGTTTAGAAATGGCGACTGTTTAATTGCCTCTCTCGCTACAATAAGAAAAGATCATTATGACAAACATTGCCCTCATGCGGGGGAAAGAGACCTTTGTGTCTTTTCACACAAACATCTGAACGCAGCCACTAACTGCAGATTCCAGGTTCGTCACAGCTGGTTTAAATGTCTCTTGAAGTGCACGAATATTTGTAAACGACATAAATATAATCGGAGCAACATTCTTACCGCACTTCTAGTACTTTATCACTTCAGCAGTGTTAACGCACGTGACGTGGAGAGACTTCCTCGAACCCAAAGCACTTCCTACTCACAGGGCTGCTTTTACATTTTGGTCACAACAGTGCATTCCAAGGCATTTTGAACACATCACTGTCCATCACCAAGTGATGACTTCCATCCTCCCCTCTTCTTATGATGTAAACATCAGAAAGTTCTTCTCTGTGAATTTTTCTTAATTCCGTTAACATTCACTCTACATTTAGGCCGAATATTGTCTTATATATACGTAATTTACGAAATGAAAAGTGATATATGATTTATATTTTACATTGAAAGTCCCTTCTCCTCACTCAAATGATAATATTAAAATACATAAAACTGTAATTGTTATACCTGTCGTGTTGTACAGGTGTGAAACTTCGTCTGGAATCCCAAAAGAAGAATAAAAATTTAGGATATTTGAGGGCAGGGCGCCGTGAATATTTGGATCTGAGAGAGAGGCAGTAAGAGGTAGCTGAAGGGAACTATTTATGCAATTGTTGTATAATGAGGAGCTTCATAGTTATTACGTTTTCTGAAATAATTTTAGGAGACCAAAGTAAGGCGGATATGATGAGCAGGGCTTATAGCACGAACAACAGCTGCGGTGATAGATATCTCTAACAAGCTGTTATAAGCACGGCAATGAACCTTCTGGTTTTTAATAGACGGGAAATTTGTCAACTAGCTCAATGACCGTTGGCTTCTTAAAAAGGTGTCTGTAAGTAAAAAAACCACAAGGTTTGAATAGATAATATGGTTATATGCATACCAGACCTTACGATTCTAATGTACAGAATTGCAAACCCAATAAGGCAAAGAATAAGTCACACTGAAGAGTTATTTTTTGTTTGGATATATCACCGTGTATTCCGTTGAAAGTCAACAGAATTTTCGGAGGAATATTTCGACTCCATCTTCAGGGTTAAAAAGTAAACCAGGAAAAAAAACTGGATAAAGCAGGCAGCATCGTTTCTTACTTGGCTTGCCTCTTAACCCCGAACATGGAGATGATCTCTTCCTCCGAAACGTCGGTTAACTTTCAGTCGGTCGATTACGTGGCTTAATAATCCAGAACTATTCATAATTTCCGCTGTGGAAGCCTCAGAACTGCCTGACACGCTGCGCCATTTAAAGTAACACAAATTTCAAAACCGTATCCATGAGTTCTGAGATTTCCAAGGTGATGAAGATTTAGATTGTAAACGTATGTATCAAGATAATATATAATTTGTTATCAATTATCTTCTGAAGGCAGAGGCGTCGTATTCCTGCAGAACGCTGGTACTTCCTTTCCAGTCGTCACGGTGTGATAACTCGGTAGAACACCCAGCATCTATATCAGGGTATATATTTCTCCTGAATATGTTTAAATTCAGTAGGCAAATAGAACTAAAAGGTTTGAGGCTTTCACGGCGGTGACTATGAAGAAAGCAGTCTTCTGGGATTTGGCACCGTGTATATGTGGTGTTNAAAAGGGTTCATAATGCAAAGAATTTTTTCATCTAAATAGTATCACATGTTCATATCTCCGTGACCAATAGTAACGGGTTCTGCATTGGATTATTGGATTTATTGGCGCCTTGTTTTACAGTCTCGCTTATTCACAATCAATTATAGCGCTTTCGTTAATCTACTCACTTCACAAATCACTAGGACACGCCATCCGTTTCCTGGCAACGGATTTGTCACAGGAACTAGCAATTGAAATCACTGTGAAGTCTTCTTGTCATTTCTTGTTCAATCACCTTGGAGTACCGACCCTCCAGAATTTGACCCGGGTCTCGAATTGCATTTCTTTAATCCCCCTAGCTACAAACAGACTCTCGTTATATAGCCTCTGGTCGGAACCCATAGAAAACACTTGTCACGTGTCAGAATATGTGGCGCGGACCACATAGAAAACATCTCTTCTGTTGTCAAAATGCGTGTCTATTAGCCCGTTTCCCAACACGGCATGGCCCGGACCACACTGAAAACACTTCTTACAATACCCTTTCTATTGTTGCATGCGCGTATTTCAGACGTTGCCTAAAAATGGGTCTACATGTCACAATAGCTTATACTACAAGAACTTTTAGCTTCGAAATTATTAATATTCAGCTCTTTATTTATTAGTTAAAAATTAAATTTAATGGAATATTCATTTCGGCTTAAGCTCCCTGTACCGGGAGTTGTTATCTAACCTGTGGATGGAAGTACGTGTTTTAAGTGTGCTTGCATCACTGTTAACCATTTTGATCTCTACATACCCCCCCCCTTCAGGGCTTTTACCATGGGCTAATCCCTGTGCTACAAAAGCACTTCGTGCTGAATTGACTTGGCAAGTAATTCCTAAATCCTGAAATATGCTGACAGACATAACCCATTAGAGGAAAAGCAGGATTTAACCGAGAAACTTCGACTGTCTGTCTGCTCGTTTGTGTTTATGGTCGCAGCAAGTGCGAATGACGATCATGTCACCACGGTACAAGTGAGGATTTTGTCAAGATCTGAAACATGTGACCCTGTAACGGACTTCACAGTGTCCACGTGACTCCTTTACAAGTAGGCAATCTAAAGTCGTCCAGTACGGCTTTTATTCGAATAGACGTAATGTTATACTAACACATATGTACCCCATTATGAAAGTATTGTAACGAATTTTGCTCGAAGCATTGCTAGGCAACTGCTCGGTAAACATGTTCCAACGCGCAACAATGGAACGAATGATATAGCTCATTGCTAGACAGCGACCAGCGTCCCAATGGACTGGCGAGATAGCAGTCACGTGACTTGTGTTTTCTATGTGATCCGTGGGAAGCCTATATAAGGAGGATCTGTTGTAGGAGTCCCATATGGGGCTCGAAACCAAGACTTACTGACTGATTGACTGACTCACCGTCAGAGCCTATATAAGGAGGATCTGTTGTAGCTTCTGGGGCTCGACACCAAGACTGACTGACTGTCGCAATGTGACTTTGACTTTGACTTAGAGTAGTTCCGTGCAGTGCAGTTGAGAGTACGAGGACCAGAATGGATCGTGTCTTTAGTTAATTGTGAAGATTAATTAAGTACAGATTAGCACAGAGGAGTAGAGAGTGATTGAAGACGAAATAACAAGAAGACTTCATAGTGGTTTGCAGCGCTAATTTCTGTGTTGAGATCCGTTGCCAGAAGACGACTGGTGAAGACGGAGAACCTTGGCACATCGCCCACTATTTGGCCTATTGTACCAGCCCAGGATGATAGATGATGATGATGATGATAATGAGTAAAGCAGTCGGCGGAATGAGAATTGGCAGGGGAAGCCGAAGTACTCGGAGAAAACCTATCCTAGTGTCACTTTGTCCACGACAAGTCCCACATACCTGACCTGGGCTCGAACCCGGGACACCGCGGTAGGAAGCCGGCGACCAACCGCTTGAGCTATGGCGCGACCAGCGATAACAGTAACAGTTCGTAATAATAGACCGTTAATGATGAAATTTGAAGCAGAATTTTCCGGAAACGTCTGTCAACATNACTAATGTCGAGTCGAGTAAAGCCAGCTGGAGGTGATACGTTCCTCCGAAACGTCGGTTAACAATATCTACACGGCGCCACATCCCAGAAGACTGCTTTTTTCATTAGCTTCCTTGACTTCTCATGGGGGTGTCAAACTTTGTCCCTCATCTCAAGGAAAGAACATGGGTTACAAATGTTTTAGAACAAAGTGCTGAGGAGAATACATTGGCTTGGGTGACAGGGAAATGGTGAATTTCATTATTAAATAGAATGTTTTGGGTGGACAATATAGCACGCACGGAGAACCGGGATATTTTAATCTGAAGTTTTCACATAAGAGACATTTTGTTAAAAGCATGCAGTATACTAAAGGACGATATTAAATTTGATTTCAAGGAAATGAAAAGTGATAATATGGATGGGATTCAACTAGCTCAGCGGGTTCAGTTGCGAACTCTTGTGAACACGGAATTACACTTGGATATCCATAAAAATAGGGAGTTTTTTAAGCAACTGAACTAACTCCATTGAGTGAAGTCCTTTCTTAGAAGCTAAGTCACTAATCTAGTCAAGAAGTTTCCCTGAAGATTCCTTTCCGCGTTCAAAATAACCAAAAACTGGTCACTGTCCTGAGCCAGATTAATCCGATCCACACTCTCTCGCCATTTTCCTTAATCATTCATTTTGTTATTTTCCCCTCCGTACCTGTTTCTTCCAAGTTCTCTTTCTGTCCCATCACGAATGATTTTTGAAGATTATTTTATAGCACAAACTACAAACTCCTTGGTTTTAGTTCGCAAGCGAACTATACCGACCGAATGACCACACTTTGTCGGATGAGTTAATGCCAACTTTAGCGGATAGAGGGTGTCGCGTGGTCAGCGCAACGAATCCCCACGGCCGTTAATTTCGGTTTTCTAGACCGGAGCCGTTATTTTCTCGAAATAGCTGCTCAATTATTATTTCGGCGCACGCAGATCTTTTATTTTTTTTTTAATTTCACACAAGATGCCTTTCTCCTTTTCAGATATCTGACATCTGGGTATTGTATTGTATTGGAGAGGGTGGGTTTCCCCATGCACTTAGACCAACTGTGGGTCCATTGTGCGTCCCCCTATGATATTCTACCAGTCTCTATTCCATACTGGTATTGGTGCGTGCCATC